AGAGTTTCAGAACATGCAGAGTCTGTTGAAGATGTCGTATTTCAAGTGTGGTGTGGGGCTAAATGTAAAGAGTAGTGGAATCTGACATTTTAGCTTTCTGAAAGAACTAAACCCAGAACCCCACTGCCTAAACCAGGGGTGTCAAACTCAACCACTGAAGGGCCATATTAAAAAATCTCAACAAATATGTGGGCCAGCTTTGTTTTTCTTTCATTTTTACTTAACACTTAGCTATGACCCAAACTGGCCATTGTTTATGTAAAATATACAAAAAACTGCAACAGCAAATGGACACTGAACACTTGAACTGTTCAAAGATAATTTTAAATAAAAACAAATTATATATGCAAATTTTAAAACAAATTTTATATATTGTTTTATATAAAACAATATATAAAATGTGTTTTAAAATAGCTATTTGCTTGAACTAGACACCAAGTATCTTTTATTTTTGTGTAACCGCTGGTCAGTGCGCATGTTATGTTGCAGTGCATGCTGGGAATTGTATTGCAGTTAATGGTGAAACAGTTTTATATTAATAGTAATAGTAGTAATAGTAATATTAATAGAAAATAATTGTGCAGGCTGAATAGGATTGTGCCACAGGCCTGATTTGGCCCACGGGCCTTGTGTTTGACACATGGGACCTAAAATCCAGATCGGATATCAAATCAACTCTAAGGTCAAATGCATAAATTCACTGCATAAATAAAGTATTTGTTTCCATCCAAAATCCATCTGTACTTTCTATCTGCTTATTTTTCTGCCTTAATTTACTTCTGAAGGACAGTGAAAGTTGCAAAAGTATTCAGACATCCTTTCTAATAAGTGAATTCAGCACACAGCTTGAATAAAGAAAAGCATTGTCAATAAAATGGGACACTCTGAGGCAGCAGTATATGAGCCCAAGTTCACCATGCCCCATGCCATGTATTGGGCTGGTGAGCAATGGAACTGGGTTCTCTGGAATAATTAAGCATCGTCCAACACTTTTGGGATCCTCAAAATCTAATCAAATGTTCCAGCATCTAGTGTAAAGGCTGCTACTGCAACAAAGGGTAACAAACTCCCTTTTAATACCCTTGATTTAAACCTTAGCTGGTCTACACACTTTTGGACATAGAGTTTGTGTTCATGCACATATGGCAGCTTAAATGTATTACTGTACATGACACTGTGGGGAATACAGGAGAAATGATCGAGTAGAACATGTGATCTTCATCATTTAGTGTAAAGTCCCTGCCCTCATTACCAGATTACAATGGCCTATTTATTTACACAGGGACTGCTTTATGAATATTTAATAGGACAATGATACTATTTTGGATTGTGTTTTGTAAAGCATAATGAAATCATTTTTATAACAAATAACTTTCAAAGGATGTAAGTGGTTGCCACTTTTCTGGGCCATATATGCATGCATTAATGTTAATGGCCTTCTTTGGCCTGACTCTCATTTGCAAGGGTTCCTTTTCAAATTGATACAATATAAAATGGATGAGAACATTCTTCAAATTTAACAACAATGTCTGGAGGAAGTGCAATATCTATAGACATTACCATACAAATAGCTCTCATTATGGCCTCTATTACCAGTAGACATAGTTTATGAGGGACTTCATTCCCATTTCTTCCAGCTCATATGCAATCAGACACCATCAGTTACAGTATTATTCAAGACACTGTGCACACTGTACACATGCATAATGCATTACTGTGCCGTACCAGTTCATATTTTTTGTCAGCAGTATTGTTCGTTATGTTTTTTTAAAGAACATTTTCAACGATAACATAATTTCGAGTATTTCTGGTCTGTATTGTATTGTTTTGGGAGAGAGAGAGAGAGAGAGAGAGAGAGAGAGAGAGAGAGAGAGAGAGAGCATGAACTCTTTTTGAAAGGCTTTGGAAGGGCAGCTTTGCTGAATAATACATTACACAGTGCAGAGCAGTTTTCTCCCAGCTAGGCCTTCAGTGTCACTCAGTCTGTCCAGCACAACGTTTCTCTTTACTAAACCACCAGTAACTTCATTAGTAGGCTATTTCAAACCCTGCCTGTTATCAACATCCCACTTTTTATTATAAAGGCCAAGTGCCCAGAGTGACTTACAAAGTCAAAAAGTCATAAATTGTATGTTATTTTTACACTAAAATGTCCTGGTTTTCCTTGTCTTTCTTTTTTCCTTTTCCTTTCCTTGTAAGGTATAAAACTGCTATTTCAGGAATATATGGTTCTGTTATAACAGTGATGATATGCACACTTTTATATAGTGGTGTAAGTAATTTTGACAAACCAGTAATAGTAGAAATGAAAGTAACCATGTAAAAGTATTATTAAATTGTTCATTATTAATGAATGAATATTGAAGTATTCAAGTATTAGAGGGCCCATATTCAACATTTTTCTTGCATTTGATTTTTTCCATTGAGGTCCACATTTGTGTGGTTTTATGTACCATAAGCCATTATGTACCGTAAATGATCATAATTAATTTTTACATGACCATTTTCCATCCTTTTTATCTCTTAGAATTAAACACACCGTATTTGTTACTGTCCCTTTAAGACTGATATATGTGAATGAGCTCCTTTTTGACTGGCTATCGCATCTTGTACCTCATTTAAAAAGCAAGCAGAGATAAAACACTCCTTATGACTTCAGTGTGAACAGGCAGAGCTAGACTGTTGTAAGCTGAATATGTGGACAATGTAGATGAGTTGGTTCTTTTGACGTCACAGAAAAAATTATTTCAAAACAGGCCGTCTTTGCAGCTTAGTTTGCATATATGGATTGTATAGTCTTGGAGTGAATGATGTATTTTGAAACTTGAAAAGTTAAACTTCTTGATTTAAAAAAGCAAGGAAAATATGGATATGGGAAAATAATTTTGTTGACCTAAAACTAATTTTGTTGACCTGAAACAGGCAAATAAGCTACGCCTGGTTTACAGGCCTTCCACATTTGGCTTTGATTTACATTTGATAAATCTAGCTATTATGTTTTATATGAATAACCCAATAAGCACAGGCCAGCATACTATTAACACTGATGCTCTCAGTGAGAGCACTCACAGCACCTCACTGTTTACAAATTCATCACAAATTCAGTCGTCAGCAAGAACCCATTTCTGTGTTTATACAGCAATAAAATACATGCAACTGATTTAAAAACATTTAGCAAGTCTTCTTGACTTTAGTACAATAATTTGTGCTTATTATGTCAATTAATCTAGCAACAATGTACATTAATTATGCCATGAAAAATTTGCAGCTTTTACATGACTGAATTAAACTAGTTCTAGTCCTAGTTGTGACAAAACAGTTAAACAGTACTTCCTTGGAATTCCTCACTTTAATCATCTTTTATTACATCACCAACAGTCATCTATTGATTATATTATGCTGTATGTTAGGGGTAGTATCTGCATTTAGAGCTAGAGAATGTAACTTTGTGTGCCTACCATGCATAAATCGACCACTCTTAAACCATCACATGAAGACTTTATGCATCACAGTGTTGTTTATTTACAAAACTGCCTGAGGAAAATGACCAGCTCTGAGCCTGGCTACTAAAAGACCCTGTATATGCATTACAATTTGCACAGTAATTCATTGTCATTAATTTGGCATTTGATGAAGAAATGGTTCACAGATAAAAATTTGTCCAGTTAAGAGATGTACAGGCACAAAGTATGTTATATGAACATTATATATGAATTCCACAGTAGCTAATAAAATATAAAAGGCTTTCTTTCCCATGATCTTCCCTCAAAGTATGAATATAAATGGTCTATTTTCTCAATGTCAAAGAGTCATTAATGCAAAAATAATTACACTCCTCATTTTTGAGTAAGGCAGACAATTGACAGAGCACATAATGCAACTGTATGCATGCTGGTAACGTTAACCACAAAACTGCAAAACGTCCTGAAAGGTCAAACTTCCACTCAAAGCAGAAAGCCATTTCAAAGCAGTATGGTGCAGCATGCAATACTGTTACTTTACTCTTGCATTCACAGTGTTTCTACAAAAAACATGTCATAGCAAACCATTATACAGCTGAAATACAACAAACATCTGCTTTTTCTAAAGTTACAAAGCAGACTATATGTTGATATTGGGCAATTACATGCAAACTCTTTTGAAAAATGTATCTTATAAGAGCAAGTAACATTTCACTTTGGTTAACCTTGTGCATTTATACACCAATCATTTAAATTAATGTCATACTGTATATGACATGAGCAAACAAAGCAGTTCAATTATAAGCATCTTTCCAAAGTAAAGGAGTGGTACATATGAGGTTCTGATAAAATATATATATATATATATATATCTATGTTGTTGTAAAATGTGATAATCTTCATTATAAAAGAGGGTAGGCAATACAGTAATTTGTGTAGTTGCAAATGCAAGGCTGTAGGTTTTTGCTTCCATTGCAAAGGTGTCAGAACCAGAGTGTGGAGTGTTAATAATCCTTACTTAATGCCACTGGGTAAAAGGCATATCACTGAATAAACCATGAGACATTTGTTGTAATAAACAACAAGTGCTAAAAATCACAGTGATAAAATTTCACAGTCAGTTCAATCGGTATAAGTACTGTTGCCCTATTTAGGCAGATTCTCAAGCTTTGTGATCTGACCTTGTCATATTCTGACAAACTCTAGCCATGTCAACAGCTTTCATGCTATCAGCCATTAGACACAGTTAATTTTCACATTTTCTCTCACTGCCATGCATTAGAAACAACCCATTCACGCCAGAACAGCATAGCGGCAGGAAAACAGCTGCTGAGCTAGAGAGCACTACACATACAAAAACAGGCAGACTAGACTCCTAACTCCTAATAATCACAGTTTGATCACATATGTTAGTATGTGATATATGTCACATATGTTAGTATATGTTGTTCTGGCAAGGTTCAAAAGGATAAGAGGTTTTGCCATATGAAATTTCCCTCTGGGGATCAATCAAGTACACTTGTTTATCTACCTATCTAACTGTAAGCAATCCCATCACTACATATTAAACAAGAATTATGGAATGCTCAACATTCCAACCAAGCTTTTTACCAGTTTTTCATCAATACAAATCACAAAGCAACCCAAACAGATGTGCACTGTGACACTCTGTAATATAAACGCATTGTGTCTGTTTTAGTTAGTATTCTCTCCTCTATCCCTTCCACTGGCTACTGAAGTTAACCTCTCACTAGTTGCTGTTGGTCTGATTTGACTCCGGTCTGTGGGTGGAGTCTGTGTTTTGATTGGTTGCTGCACATTCACATGACTGTGCATGTGGTCTGTAGGCAGATTCTGCGCTTTGATTGGATTCTTCGGCTTCTCCCTCCTCTTGACAAAGATTGGAGGATTCTGAGGCTCGGCGTGCTTGCTGATAGGACAAACAAAGCTCCTCCCACTTCTTGCGATTGGCATCTATCCCATCTACCATTGGCTGGAGCTTCCTATTCAGCTTCACCAAAGCCTTTTCAAAGACAGCTTCATTAACTGAGAACAAGTTTCAGACCAGCGATATAAAAAGGAAACAATGTCATAATTTGATTTCATTTTTGTTTACCTCATACAATGGCTTACAAATCCCATCAATCCACTCCAGCTGGAGAGCAGGGAGTTCATCTTTACGGTTGCGATCAAAAATGGCCTGGTGGGAGAGCAATATTTTTCCAGTTCAGTCAGTTTTTTAGTTTGTTCTTTAGTACATGATTGTGAGGTGAGGGTTCAATTCCCAGGATACTCATTGTAAAGACCAAAGAGAGTGTAAAAACACTTACAGAGGGAGTCAGCTTCAGTTCCGACCTCTCCCTGTCACCCTGCTCAAAGAACTCACTAGTCACCAGCTCTGCCACCTGCAGGACAAGACAGGCACATGCATCTCTACGATGCATCATTAACTACATTCTCTTCCTGAGGCTGATAGAGATCTACACACTTAAAAAAGATGGTTTTTCAAGGGTTCTTTAGCAAAGAATATGGTTCTACATAGAACCATGAACACTCAAAGAACCCTTTGCATGATTAAAGCGTTCTTTTCATCGGGAAAGGGTTCTTTAGGTTGACAGAGAATGTGCTGTAGATGGTTCTATGTAGAACCTTTTTGAAATAGGTTCTATAACACCAAAAAGGGTTATTGTATTTTTATAAGTTTGACATTGTAACAATAGCAGAACCCTCTTTGGTGCTATATAGAACGCTTTTCAAAACATTTCTACATAGAACCATCTTCAACACATTCTCCATCAATCTGTAGAGAAAGTTAACCTGACCTGTTTAGAGATCCTCCACGGTCGAGTCACTGCACCCAAGTCACATGCAGTCATCAGCATGGACCTGTTATGAAGGCACTGTCATGTTGCAGCTGTTGTACATGCAGTTGTAGTAACTTTAAATACCATAATTTTAAAATGAGGATGGCTCACCTGAGGACATCTCTGTGCTCCTGATTTGACCAGCTGAACTTTCCAGACAGAACATATTCAAAGAACTTTGTTCTTTTTCTGCAATGCCAGAAAAAATGTAACATATGAGTTAGACTAAATAAATACACAAAACCACAATTGGACTAAAATGTCATTCTTAAAGTTTAAGGCTTAAACCATCCCGCTGTTAAATACAACAGGGTCCAAATTCTGAAACTGCCAGTGAAAGCACTTCTATATTGCATTCTTTTCTCATTTATTACAACATTTGAGTGAAAAGTCACAAATCTGCTCGAATCTGCTTTTGTTCTCTATGTATGGGGCAAAAAGCTTCAGCCTTATGGTCGAAACTGGAATAACTGGAGTAAATGGAGTATCTGGTGTAATTTAACAATTAACTCTAAAAACATAGCTCATTAATCAATTCAATATAAAATAATACACAGATTTTAGAGTATACCTTACAGACATTATAAAATAGCCCTGATTCCCAATTTCAACTGTCAGTTCATATATCAGGCACACGTTTACATATAATCTGGGAATGTGAGCCTACTACAGACTTCTGGGAATTTGTTAATACCACTTTAATGAGGTGCAAAATTTTTATTATATCCCAAACACTGCACATTGTTTACTGACTGATAGTGAATTTATTTACTTAATCAGCAAAGAATGCTATTGTCTGGGTTTACTGCAGCTAAAAAGTCAATCATTTTATTCTTGCTTGCTCCTAATTTTACTATACAGAGAAGACAAAAAAAAGAAAAGACAAAGAAAAAGAAAGATGTTATGAATTATGAGGTTTTGATATGACAACAGTAACATATTGTTTCCTGGCCCCAGGGTACTAAGCCATCCACTCAGATGCCTGTGTTCCAGTGGCGCCTCTCAGTGGATGTTGGATGTATTATATGTAAGACTGATGAAAGGTCTGTGCATTGGGAGATGTAGGGGATGTGGGTTTAGTGCAGTGTTGTGACTGAAGAACTCACTGGAAATACAGGGTGAGGTCTGTGGACAGGATGGCCTGCTTTAGGAGCTGCATCATGTGGCTGTACTCTTTAGAGCAGAGGTTGGCAAAAATGTTGTGACCCTGTTGGAAGAATAACATGCTTCCTTGATAACAGACTCTTAGGCTGCTCTCACAGCAATGAAATGATGTAACATTACAAGATGCTTCCTGGGAAACAGAACAGAGGATGCACAAAGTAATGCCTCATGACATTTCATGTTAAGTCAAAGAGAGAGTAGCATATGTAAACAGAGAACATTCCTTCTATCAGAACTTCAAAGAAAAGCCTGGCCTTTGATGCTGACCAAATAATGATGCAATATGTGCATAAGAGTCCTAGCCTGTTCACTTACCAAATGGTCATCAAACTATTCCTTTGTGTATCATTATTTAAAAAGAGACTTCTTCTATGCTTCTAGAGGTGTCTATGCTTCTTAGATTAAGCCTTGCTTTTATAAATGCTTCTTCCTCCCTCCACTGCAGTGGCAGAGAGCTGAATTATTGGTTAAAGGAGCTCAGTATGCAGAAACAGGAAATCCACACAGAGCTGGGTAACGATTAAATAGCTAACAGCTTAAGCAGCTAATATATCAACACTGGCAGTCTTTTACATTTTCTACTAATACTCAAATATATCAAATGTGAATTTTTATAAATGTAGAAATGGGTCATACTTGAAAAATAAAAATGACACATCCATCAAAAGAGAAACATGGGCTTGTAAAAGAGGTATAGTACAATTTCCCAGCCCAATGGTGAGAGACTAGGCACTAAGAAGAGTTTTGCTGGTGTTTCAAAAGAATAAGCTAATTGCCATGGTCACCTCGCTCTGCAGGATCATGACGGCGTGGTTGAAGTGGTGATGCTCGAGAGTGGCTGATGTTCCATACAGTAACGCCAGTGCTGACCCTGACCTGCAGGGGGCAGTAAAAATCACTTACAAGATAGTTACAGAGCAATAACTTTGTGGCATCACGTTATGCATTAATTATTTGCTGACAGTGTAATGAGAATACTATATGGACTGTTTAAATTCATAAAAATCATTGCTAGGACATAGCTGGAATCAGAACAATACCTCCAAAAAACAAAACTTTACAGGGGAAGCAAAAACATTCTTAACTTTCAATGCCATTTAATGTAACTAGATATTCTTCTAAGTCATTTTGGGTCATTTCCGTTGATGTCAGTGAAATGTTTAAACAATGTAAACAGCAGCTGGTATTTTCAAATTATGTAAAAAAAATGGACAGTGACAATTTGATTGCTTTAGATGTAGTGCTGCTCTTGGCTCACTTGGCTTGAAAGGCATTGTTAGTGCCACGATGGTCCAGGTCATGGCAGAGACACCCAACCATCAGTGCCAGAGTCTCTGTATCCGTCAGAACTTCCTGAAAACCTGCAGTCTACCAAAAGACACAGCTTAATTTTAGTACTGTACTTACGTTCAAATACTTAGACTCAATGACTTCAATAATATAAATCCAATTTGTTGGTAAACAAATGTATAAAATTATTTTAATACACTGTGCAGCTTCCCCAGCTTAAAATATTTAGCAGGAGGCAAAGAAGCTGTAAAATTAAGCAATTGTTAGACTATATAAATTGCTATTATAAATAAAATAATCAACATTATCAGCAAGTGATTTCAGTCTTTTGATCAGTAGGATATATAGATTTTTCAGGTTCAATCTGCCAATAAATTCTAAATGGGGGAAAATGATCTCTGTGATCTTTATTCAAGTCTTAAAATCTTTCTTTTTTTTACATTTTACAATCTGCCACATATGGAACTCTGCCAATAATTCCCTTGTACTTAGAAAAGAACAGAACTCAAAACACACGTATAACAGAAGAATGGCCAGCTGCTTCAGGAAAATGTGCTGAAATCGTCTATGGCAGATGACCGTGTGCAACAGATGCAGCTGGAGGAGTACTTTAACTTTAATATAATTGCAGCCTGTTTCAGAATTGAATATTTTTAATTACATTTGATTCCTTTTTTAATTAAATGTAATTATATTTTCAATTTAATTATTTTATTTGATCATATGTCAATTTCAGTTCCGTCGACAGAATGGCCACTAGGAGGCCTGCAGAAAGGGGTTAGGACACTATTGCAGTTCAGGAAACATTCTTTAGGGGTGAGCTACATCGAACTGCATGCACTCACAGTGATCATGACAAACATGCACTGGGAGACGTTGAAGGCGTGTCTCCAGTTGTGATAGGCCACAGTGCGGTAGTTCTTCCTCACAGTGAGCAGCCATCGGCACAGCACCTGCACAGGAGGAGGACAGTGTTTGACAGTGCCTGTCTCTACCACTTCAATCACACGGTGCTTTCACCCTCAGCTTGTATTCTGTATTCATCGAGAGATGTAGTGATTTTGACAGAACAGAAGTCTGGGTTTCTCCACAGTTCATGGTGCCTGATGACATGAACTGCATTTTTTTATGAGTTTTCCCATCATAAGACATGTTGCTAATTTATATTATTAGTGGTGTGTAGCATTTATCATTATGAATAAACTGCATGCTCCTCTTTCTATTCACGCCTTGCTGCAAAACAGCAGGCTACACCATGCTCATCATAAAAGGCGTACAGAGCTGATTATTGGTGCATAGCCTTTACTTTCAGTTCATGTTGTTGGTTATGCAATTGTACAAAACTGTGGAGAATGAGGAATTCCAGATGCTGAAACACATGCTCAAGCCTCGATATGAAACTGATATGCACAATCATATATGTGTATTTTGAGTGTTTTACATTAGTATCAAACAAGGTTTAACTGATCAGAATTCAGATTCAGAAAAATCTGCTTAAATTTTAGTACACATAGCACCAAAGACTGATGAAGAAGAAGAAATTAATTCACTTTAAAACAACTGTTCTTTGTTTGTTATTTACATTTTGTAAACGGAGAACCTTAGAATAAAAGGAACATCATGTTCATTCATTTTTTTCTTTTTTTGGAAAAGTTTTATTGCTTGTATTTTGTACTTCTTGTATTAAATTGGTCGATGTCTAATAAAAAAGGAAGTCATCTAAGTTGGTTAAGTATTTTCCAAGCTAAACAGTAATACATACCAAACTGAGGCCCCAACACCAGAGACTGAAGCGAACCATAAATAGGGTGAACTGCTACACCCCTACAGTCTACAGCAGATTAATTTCTGCATCTCTGAACATGCATTAGTAAGTGATGACTCCTGGGGATCAGAGCATTGCTTTCATCCCTTCACAAGCGCCCGTCTCACCTCATAATCAATTTTGAATTTCTGCACAACCCCGAGCTCTAGAAACATCCGCAGGGAGGCGGTGATCATGGCGTCGTTGTCCAGTGAAAAGTCATTAAAGTGAAACTCGTCAATGCCCAGCTCGCTGCTCAGGGGGATCTTAGCAGCCTGGGAGAAGAAAGAGAGAGAGGGCCTTCATCACATGGCCAAACAATCCTACTAACACCAGACCTAAAGCAATTAAATCCAACAGCAGAGCTGGACCCACTGAGAGCTGATATGTAGTGTACTGCACTGCACTCTTTCAATTATAAATGCTTCAGCCTCCAAAATACAGGCCTGTAAATTGTCCATTCAGAGGAATGGAGAGAGTTTGGCGGGTGTGTTTTCTTTATGTCCAATTTCCTCCCCTGATATATGAGTTTAATTTAAAGTTTTCATCTACTCCCTCTGTGCACACAGGAGCTAAACTTTCAGTAATAACATTCCAAAAGATCCAAGAATTTATAGAATGTGTTTGAACTGTGCATTTTATTCCCGAAGGAATCCGAATCCTGCACTCCCTTTTCTTGCAGGTTTTAATCCTATAGCTCATATATTACAGCGTTTTAGCAATGGCAGCAACAACTTTTCCATTCAGCCCACAGATTTATACCATAGGAATTCTGGGTTTATGTTCAAATGTTTTTAAAATATTATGTAGAATAGAATTATGGGTAAGGCTACTCTTTAACTTGCCTTTAATGAAAGCCCTCTTTTTTGTATTTATCTTTTTAATTGTATCAATGGTATTGTCTGTTACTGATATTGTTAATTACTCTTAACTTTTATTTATTCAACTTTATTTTCTTTTATTACTGTTACTGAACTTTCTTGCCTTCCCGTTAATTTGCTATTTGTGTGAAAGGTGCTCTATAAATAAAGCTTATTATCAATATTATTATTACATTCTTAAAAATAAAGGTGCCATAAGAATTCTTTGGCACGATCCCACTAAGGAACCATCTTTCATTTCCTAAAAACCTTTAAATTCAAAGGTTGGCTTCTATTATAAATGTGTTTTGAATCAGCAGTTTTTCTATTCTAAGAACAGGAAAATGTGCCAAACAATATTGTCCGTAGTAACTAACCATATGCTACAGATGCAGCAAATAGAGTCAGCACCTTTATTTTTCTGATAACCACATGATTTTGCCATGAGTAATAACCCCTTTTCTACCAAAACGCCCACTGGAAGATTACAGTATGGTTGCTACTGACACTATCTTCTGTCTGATGTTAGTTTGATCGCAAATACCTTGAGTCGATCCACCTCCACCTTTGAGCATGTAGCATGATAAGACAGCATCTAAAGGCACAAATACAAGAACAAAATGCAAGCTGCCTCCTGCACTCCATCAAATCAATATGGATCAGTGATCAGACAAATAGTAAGAGATCAAATCCAGCTTACATCCAGAGCTACAGACTGCTTGGCCCATGTCTTCTTCACTTGGTTGTACATCATCGTATTGTTGATGCCGAGGCCACAGAATATAACAAAAGCCTGTGACAAACACAAAAGCACACAATTACCATCAGACACAGAAGAAGAGGATTAATAATAGATGTGATTTTTGTTTGATGTTCATTGTGATTAGGATGATGAAGCGAGTAAAACATTCATTTGTAAAGATTTAATGAGATCATTTCATCCAAGTTAATACATCGGCAGAACTCACACCTCAAATAGCCTTTGATCTGCATCGTTAAACGTCTTCCTGTCCAGGCGATTAAGAATCTGGGCAACACCTTGAAGAGATAAAAGGACATATTTCTGAAGTGTAAAATCCTGGATGTGTCTGCATAACCAAGTATGTTTGTTGTACATTTTGAGGACAAGTATGTCCTGAAAATCAGAGGAAACCAGGAAATCTGGGGCCCAAAAGTCTGAGACCACTAATGAAAATACATTTCACATTCTTTTCTAATTTAATTATTGTAGTTTTTTCATTACAAGTGTTGTTATCATATTATCATAGCAATTTGAGCAAACAGCAGAATATTAGAAAAATATGAATTTCAGGATTTCTTTGTATTTGCTATGTCCCTGTTTACCTTTAATGACGATCTTTAATAACTATGTGAAATAGGTGAACAATGGCTATAAGCTGTTTAACATAAACATGGCTCTGAGTAGATCAGATGCAACAGAGGCGTCGTCTGAACACAAGCTTCAATAAAAGGAAAGAGGCTCAAAAAAATCTGATCATTTTGTACAAAAGCCTTAACTGGCATAAATGTGCTTAAATTTGAACAGTGACCAACAAATAGTGACCAGAATTAATATTTCTTCTTCATTTTCCTTTTTTTGTTTACATTTTTCAAAATTCTAAAATATTCCATATTTCCAGGTTTAAATGCAAAAATCCTAGATTTTCAGTTCAGATTTTGGAGACCACTGTATTTTACATATGTGGCATATCTATGACCCCACATCCTGACAGAATAAAGACAAGTGTGTGTGCTTATGTGTGTGTTATTCACTATGCAGAACACTCACCAATTATTTGATGGGTTCTGTTCCAAATGGGGACACACAGCACTGACCTGATATGAAACCCTGAGGCCTGATCAGCCTGTGAACAAAGAAACACAGTGTATTTTGTGAGTGTGTGTGTCTGTGTGTGTGTCTGTGTATATTACTGAAACTAATCCCATTAGCTATCCTTGGTCATATTCATCTGAAGTCAGGAAAGGAAATACCTGCATTAATAGCAGCATGACCTTTTGAAGGATTACAGCACAGGTTATGACCATTCACAGACATATATCTTATATAATCATTCATGACGTTTGTTCCTGAATAACAGGCATTGAGTGGATTCTTACACATAGGAAAGTACTCAGTCATATAAATGGGATTATTCTTGTATGAAGTATTATGTTTTTATACGCAATCTGAGCATTCCCAAAGTTATTATTAAAGTTTTGTTAATGTTTGTAATCAGTAACTATAGATCTCTTAGTAACATTTGTGTTTGAATCTTTTTTATAATATTGAGTTTATGACATTCATCTTGACTGGATTTGTCATATTTTTTGGTCTTGATACAACAGATAATGTCCTGCCCTTGAAGAAACAAGAAGAACTCTGAGGTCCAGCACAGAGAACTGAACCAGAGAGTCATCATTAAATGGAAGAAGAATCTGAGAAACCCCTGCAATATTTGGTCAAAGGCTTTTGATAAATAGCATAAACTCATACATCATAACCCATACTATAGTACTTCATTGAACTAATGACCCACATATAAATAAAAGCAGCATTGCCCCTCAATCCAATTTTCACACTACAGCAGTGGTTGAAAAAAAGAAACCAGGACCAAAAACTACTTGAGTAAAAAGATTTCTGTAGTACTTTGGTGGAACTTCTGAGTACACCCGGCTCTATTAGTATGAGATGAAGTTTGTTCGGCTCTGTCCAGAAAACTAAATCAAAAGAATAGAATGAAATTAACCCATGAAAGGAATCAGGATCTGTGTATAAAGTAGATTACTTTTCACATAAATGTACTTAAGTGGAACTAAGAGTATCATATATTTGAACTACTCAGAATGTACAAAAAAAAACATTAAATTTTCATTTGAAGACTTCTAACAGAGTAAATGTAAGCATTTACTACCCACCTCTGGTGCTATATGATAAAACTTATACTACTACTAATGTTATCCAGCCAAGTTGTATAGACACACCGAAAGAATTGTCAATTCAAATTGATTCAAATCAGTTGCACAATAATGAAATGTGTTACATCAACCCAAATCTTGCTAAAAGAAGAAACTGCAAGCAAGCTACTGTGTTGACGTAACATATTTCATTCATATGAAACTAACTGATACGTTTAAGCTGTGTAAATTCAAAGCAATATTTTTGGGGGGCAGCTTGTCTGGATAAGTTCATGCACCAATCTGCAGTACTAGCTGCCTCATCTGGCAATTACATTGAGCAGACAGCACTTTCTTCTCTTTTAATTCGGCTTTCACTCCACACAGCTGGATAAGCTGGTTGACTGAGTATAACAGTATGATCTTCTTTATCTGAAGTGGGCACGCAGACATGTCTGTGTATATGTGTGTGCGTTTGTGTGTGTGTGTGTGTGTGTGTGTGTGGACTACCCACCTCAGCATCAAAGCGGGGATCCTGACACACATCACTGATGTTGACAGGCAGGCCTGTGGACGCCACCAGCTCAGCAATGCTGTTATTGATCAGCCAGTCTGAACAGGACACCTTCTCCATGCTGACTTCATCAAACACATGCACACACACGGAAATACACAACAAAGAGTGCATTAAAAAATGTGCCAGTCTACCCAATAAACCCATCTTTTGCTTGACAGCTCCACTTTTCCTATTGCAAAGAGAGCACTTAAACTATGGTTGGCAGGCCTGACACCTGCCAAAAAATTACTGTTCAGCACTGGCTTCCACCTCATTCTCTTACAATTACACACTGGTTGCAATCCTTTTTATATATCCTTTATTTAGAATTATCGTCAGCTAGAGTTAATAGAGTAACAAGTTACAATAAGGATATGGCTGAATGGAATTGAAGATGTGAAGACTTTGCCTTTATCATGAGGATTTCTAACTATGAGAGTATGTGTGTATATATGTGTGTTTCTGTATGTACATGTGTATGTGGTGATTGGGTGGGGTGGGATGGGATGAGTGTGGGTGGAGGGTAAAAGGGGTCATATAATGATGCTTGTTGATTGTTGATTCTAAAAAAATTTGGTTACAAAAAATATGTGCTAGTCTATGCCATCCCCACAACATGTAAACTGGTATAACTGCTGTTCTGCTTTAGTGACATATTATTTTCATGCAGCATTCTTTATACATAGAATGATGCACAAGAATCTTCAGAGTGGGATAACACAATAAAACAACATGCCAATGAACTGTCAGAGGAACCTCTACAGAGTGAATCACTTGTAGGCAAAATGCACACTGTTAGGAAAAGTTATAGGCCGGGGCAGACTTTCACGTTGGAACCACATGGGGCACCAACCACCTCATTTATATTTTTATAAATTGTGAGCCCAGCCACAAGAGAGAGACCAATGTCGCGAAATAATGGCATTTTGAACACAGTGTTGGACTGTTTTTGTGGACATTGTTTTTGCTCATATTTGGATTGCTGTTGGAGCGCCCATTCCATCAACTTATAAAGCCTGAATGGTATCATGAACAAAGCTCAAGCTGGTTGACCCTGGGTTCATGGCCTGAGCTGGCCTTTCTAGGAGACTATTCAGAGACTCGGACTGCAGGTGAGTTGGTCTTTTGGTGGGTTTTCCAACTAGATTTAGGGACACACTTTTACTTCAAACAACAACATGTAAAAGCAGTGTGTCTTGATTACAGTCAGGACCAAAATGAATCAATTAGACCCTGGACAACTTGGTATTCCTTTGTTTGCACCAGCGGTTTCTGGGCTTGTAACAACGTGAAGTGGAAAGCTCACCTTATGTCATGATCAACACTGCAGAGTGGAGACATGAGCTCAAACGTCTTAGAGAACTTCACCACCTGCAGGGCACAGAGTAACAGTGTGAGGAGAGAGGACAGTGACGTTATTAACAAATGAATGTATGGGTGAGTGAAAGGATGGTTGAATGGATGCATCAGAATGTGAATAACTTTATGATTTGCATACTTGGAGTAATCAGTTAGAGATCCATAAGCAGGCCTTTAAGCGGGGGGAAGGGGGGTTTTCTACAATGAACATTTTTGAAAGATGCTGTTGAGAACCATTAAGAACCTTTTTAAGATTTAGCTGTGGACCCAAAGTTGACTTAGTAAGAACCAGTAGTTATTAAAAAAAATTATTAAAACTATAAATATATAATAATTTTTATTCAATATTTCATATTGTTGCTGTCCAAGGAAAACAAGTATCTCCAAAATGGTAGCTTTACAGTAAAGGGCAAAAAATTACTGTAAGACAATAGAAAGAGATTCTATTCAAAGCAAATTTAAAGCCTTTTTATTGGTCCATCATGACATTTTCACACAATGTAAAGGGTACATGTCTTTTTTATTGAAAACAACTATATACTGCACTGTACTAAATCAAATTGAACAAGAAACAAGTGTACTCTCTTTGTTATGACAGTGAGCAAAAGCAACACACTGGGCCATAATGTGATGTTTTTTATCACAGTAATTATGGACATTATAACATTGGCCACCCCTATGTGGAAGGTTGTTTTGTGGTTGAAAAAAGTTCAATCAGAATCTGAAAAACTTCATGGTTTGGGTACTTGTAGTAATCTTATTTTAGAGATATTTTTGGAACACAAAATGAAAAATGGTTCTTTGTGCACCCACCAAATATGGTTTTTAAATGGGTCTTTTAAAAGCCAACCATTGAAAGGAGAGATGGATGGATGGATGGATGGATGGATGGATAGATAGATAGATAGATAGATAGATAGATAGATAGATAGATAGATAGATAGATAAAGTGTATACAGAGTGTATAGAGTGCTATAATGCAGAGTTTAGAGAGAACAGAAAGAATGTATTATTAAGTGTGAACATCTCACAGGTGAGTGAATGTCCTCCAGCAGCAGCACAGAGCAGCGCTCACACTGCAGCAGCGTTAGAGCTCGCTGCATGATCTTCCTCACAATCTTCTCCAGGTCTGTCTGCTCCTCAAACAGATCATTCACCACCTCCAGCAGAGCCTGCACAAACACCAACCACTTCACTCACCATATCACTACATGTAGTCTCAGAAATCTTGATTTAAAATCAAGCTAAAAATACATAAGTAGTACTATGTGTGCAGTGTATTAAGTTTTTCACACAAGATGTTTTTCAGATTTGCAGGAAAGCAAGACCGATCATTTAAAAAGCATCAAAATAAAGGGGAAGCCTTTCAAAACAGTGACAAGCCATCAAAAAGCCATCAAACGAATTAACTTACTTGTTGTTTTCACATTTCTTTAGTGTATAAACTCCCCACACTAGATCATTTTATACAGTCTGAAAAATTGATTCTGTCTGCTCAATAGAAGCCAGACTGGGAATCATGTGGAATTCTGAGAGTGAACCTGAAATTCTGACTGCATTATTCAGCAACGCTCTCCAGGCTGTGAGCAGTGTCTGTGTGTGGTTCAGACTCTCACCCTGCTCCTATCGTACTCTTTGCGGGACTCTGAGAAGAGCTTGGCATTGGAGATCGATATTCCACAGAAGGGCAGATACATCTGCAGCACCTGAACACAGACAGAGGCAGAATGCTTCTTAAAAGGCATTATGTGTACAAAATCTCTACATGAGTAAAATAAATTACATCAAGACAATTTTGTGTTTCAGTTTACTTAATTTGGCCTTGATTGTGTGGATCTATTGTATTTTATTAGTCTAAAAATGATGTACGATTTTACATCAGGTACATTCATGCATTACCTTTTATGTCTGCATGACAAACACAGAGATATATTAGCAAGAAATCTACTTGCAATTCAAACAGAAGTGCATTACTTCATTACTGAAACCTTTTTTTTTTACTTTTTTGTTACTTATTAGTATACCTGAGCATATCCAACACAAAATCAGAATCTACTTTTTGAGCATAGATGTAGCTTGTTTCTAAGGCTACGTGACCACCTGAAGCAGTAAGAAAGTGTTCTAGCCCACTGGCTGCTCAATAAGAAGAAGAAAGTTAGACTCAAATTCTCCTAATAGACATAGAGTTGGATCCAAAGCATGTGGGTAATTAACATTAATCACCTGGATTACAATAATAATGCACTCTGTCTGTCACATTGACACCCTGTCACACACCTGCCGGCTGCCCTCCTAGTGAAGTATTGATTAGGGATTGAGAATTGAAGGCAGGAAATGAAAGCGAGGTCGATTACGGCTGCTGCTTATCACCACAACATAGTTTACTGCTGCTATCAGCTTTTGCCTGGACATCGATGCAGGCCAATTCCAAACTTTAGCCAATAAATGAGATATGAACTGTGAAAGACGTAGGCTTTATTCAGAATTGAGTCGAATACGAAAGGCAAAACTTCTTCAAGAGCATTTGTAAGGAAATTCCAAGAATAATCCCTAAGATTTTTGCCCACAAATAAATAATGATTACTTTGTTGAGTTTATTTAGGTAATCCCATTAATTTACTTATTATTATGTGACTGCAGGGATTTTTTTTCCAGAAAAATAACTTCATCAGACTAATTCTGACATCTGCTGGACACAAACAAGAATTATTCAGCACCATTGCACTATGGATGATGAACTTAGTCTGATGGGATGGATGTCATGAGGGTTTGGCACTCAAAACCCTTCCCAATGAAGACAATGAAACTATACTGTATTAGTTACTTTCTAAGTTATTGTATTGTATTGTTTCATTTCTTGAAAATGTTAAGTCATCTATGAAACAACAACATAACTGTGCCCTCAAAGCCAACTGAATGATTTCACACTCAAATAAAAGAACAATATTTTTTTCTGTAAAGAAATCTGTAGATACTTGTATTTGCAATGTAATAATAGTGTAACAGAGTACTGTAATCCTACTCTATGACATAAATGTGTAGGTGCATGCAAGTTCTATTGCATTCAATGCGAATTAAGCAGATTTTTCAGAGCATTGCATCCTTCACTCCAGAACAATAAGACTGGGACTGTAATTGGTGGCATGTTTCCACTATTTGCAGCAAGGCTGTCTAATGACTCACCCTCAGAGAAGTTTATAGAGATTTTATTCCTGAGGACGAGAATGACGTGAGCAAGATAAGCTGAGAAAACAGTCAATCGCAGTCTGTTATTTAATCATTTAGTACCATGTGCAAAATGACCTTCAGGCCTGTGCTGGAGTCAGCCTGTTTCCTAAGGTTATGTAAGCAAGCATTTTCATACTCTTTGAAACATTTTTTAATGTTCTGTCATGAACAACTAACAACTACTAATGTTTTCTACAGAACTTTCACTGTGGTTTGTGCAACTGCTTCATAATACACATTATTTCTATCTTGCCTAGTATGTCATGTGTTGTGCATTTAGAGTCTTTGTCTTTTTTGTTTTAACTCATCAACTGTTCCCAGAGTAGTTGGGTGTCATGCATGTCTACACTGGGCAGTAAAATGTATCATCATGTGGAACTGAAGCCTTTTTTCAATATAAATGAAGAAAGATGCTGCCTTTATTGTTGGATTCACTGTGTGAGCAGAATTCAGATTGATAAGGGTTTATACACTATGACTGAAGTGTGAAGTGTATTTGCTCATGACACAAAAAATAAGACACAAAAAATATAAATTTTTAGTTTTCAGAATAAATGCATGAGAGCACTGAGAAATCACAGTATTAAATGGGAAGAGCAGATCAAAAAATAGAAATAGCCACATTTTGCCTCAACAAATGGGTATATCACACAGCAATTCTGAGAAACTAAATGGTTCTGTTCATCATCCCATATAGACAGCTATCTTCCTGAGGTAGCAGCTTTTGAATGATTATAAATGGAGGAACAGGGTGATACATTAATGGAAGGGAGAAGGTGATGGAACTCACCTTTTCATCATCCTCAGTGAAAGGAGTTCCGCTGGGGTTTTTGTTGATGGCCTGCACCACTCCAATCACCTCCCCATCACTGTTACAAATGGCCATGCACAGGATCGACTGGGTCTTATAACCTGTCAGCTTGTCAATCTCATCACTAAAGCGATGGTCCTGCGGGATATTATAAAAGATTACTGGAGTGTGCACCAAGATGCGGGAAAGATAGCAGAACTCCTAGAATGTTTATTTGACGCAGATGCTGATTGCCAGAATAGGTTTGGATAGGGTTTGGTAGGCTTTTTCACTATTTTTCACTATAACAGTTTATTCAGCCTATAGGCTGACAACACAAAAGCCACTAGTGTGTCATGGCAATGTCTTTTGATTAATAAAATGTACAGCTGACATCTATACAAAATACAGCATATTTTTATAAGTTATTCCTAAGTTACAGTATAATATCTTTCCCAACAGCTTTTGGAACAGCTCTCAAAAACTGCTAAATTGTATACATACAGTTCAGTGCAAAAGATTTAGACATTTGAAAGTGCTATTTGGGCAGTAAGTTTACTTGATTAGGAAAAACACTATTATTATAGTAAATACAAATAAAATTAATACATTAAGTAGTTCCCTTCACCTTTTACAAACCAGTATACAGTCTGCCTAATTTGTTAGCCCCCTTTTTCCATCTTCTTCAATGGTCAGGACCCCCACAGGACCACCACAGAGCAGGTATTATTTAGCTGGTGAATCATTCTCAGCACTGCAGTGACACTGATGTGGTGGCATTGTGGTAGTGTGTGCTGTGCTGGTGCGAGTGGATCAGACACAGCAGTGCTGCTGGAGTTTTTACACACCTCAGTGTCACTGCTGGACTGAGAATAGTCCACCAACCAAAAATATCCAGCCTGTGGGCAGCATCCTATGACCAATGATGAAGGACTAGAGGATGACCAACACAATCTGTGCAGCAACAGATGAGCTACTGTCTCTGACTACATCTATAAGGTAGACCAACAAGGTAGTTGTGTCAAATAGAGACAATGAGTGGACTCCAGCAATTAAAAAATTCTAGCAACACTGCTGTGTCTGATCTACTCGTACCAGCACAACACACACTAACATGCCACCACCACGTCAGTGTCACTGCAGTGCTGAGAATGATCCACCACCCAAATAATACCTGTCCTGTGGTGGTCCTGTGGGGGTCCTGAACATTAAAGAACAGGATGAAATGGGGCTACTAAAGTATGCAGAGAAAGAGATGGACTACAGTCCGTAATTTGTAAAACTACAAAGTGCTCCTATATGGTAAGTGGAGCTGACAAAATAGACAAAGAGCGCTGATATAAGGAGACGTTCCTAATAAAGTGCTTGGTGAGTGTATATTGCAACATCTTCTATCTATGTTGTTGATGATCCTGAAGTGATATAGTGACATAGACTAAAGATATTGTGGTTAAAGACAGCCAAAATCTATTTGTTCCAGCACAGAAAGCTTTTTATATAGACATGCTCCCAGTGTAAGTAACTGCTCCCAGCCATTTCTGTTCACTGTAGGAGGGCCGTATCTGGACTCATTGCACTAATGGACCTCCGGAGACTGGAGTTCAGCAGGTGACTGGGGAGAGCTCGCCCTTGGCCATGTTATAATGATGTCCAATGTTCAACTAGTGAAATGAACATCACGATGTGCACAGGAAAACAGTCCTGTAAGCGATAGGTTTCTCAGACACTTTGACGTTATTGAAGTAATCAGGTTTCATTTCCTATTGGATGCAATAAGTTCTTACTGTGAGAACGGATCATGTTATTTGGGCCACTGTAACAAGTGGGGTCACTGCTTTATACAAAAAATACAGATTGGGTTTATATACATTCTTAAAAAAAGATGGTTCTTTAAGTGTTCTTTAGTAAAGAAAATGGTTCTATATAGAAACATAAGCACTCAAAGAACCTTTGCTTGATTAAAGAGTTCTTTGCATGGTGAAGATGTAGTGTTCTTCAGACTGATGGAGAGTGTGTTGTATATGGTTCTTTACAGAACTGTTTTGAAAAGGGTTCTATATAGCACCAAAAAGGGTTCTGCTATTGTTACAATGTCAAGCTTGTCACAGAAGAACCCTTTTTTCGTGCTATAGAGAACACTTTTCAAAAGAATTTTCAATCTAAAGAACCCTTTCACCTTACATCATGCCAAGGGTTCTTTAAGTGTTTATGGTTCTATATAGAACCATTTTCATTACTAAAGAACTCTTGAAGAACCATCTTTTTAAGAGTGTAGTAAAAGCGGACTTTATAAATCTTGCAGCATTTTTAATCAGTTACTAACTATGATGGGGAATTTCACCACTTTTGCAGAATTGCTGTAAAATTAATAATTAAGATGTAAATAATTAAGATGTAAACAAAGTCATTCAGAGAAGTTTGACGTAAAATTGTTAACATGTAGAGCAACTTACCAACACAGATCTTCTTCAGAGTGATGGTGACAGGAACCAGGGGTCACAGTGTTTACAACAGAAATATAACCATTTTATTAAGTAGCCAAAATGAACAGTGAACCTCCACGTCTTCTGAGTTTTATCTGTAATTTTAATGATGGTAAAATTGTGATACATTTTTTGGGAACTATTTTGCCTTACAACACCCTGCATGTACCACTCCGCTATGAATGGGTTTTAAACTATCATTAAACTATCGTAAAGCACTGTCTCAGTTACCAGGCTCCATTTCATGCTCATTCAACTTTGTGCGAGAGCTTTCAGAGCCATCAAATGTTTTGGATATCTGGTTCCTAACACCATTGAATAAATCTCTGTAAGTTTCTCTAGAATGGAGCATCTCACATCAAACCACTCCGAATGGCTTTGTTTCCATCCTAACTATTTCATTATCCAAAAATCTAGAAAGTCAGTGGAGTTCCCACTGAAGAGTTTCTATACAGTAACTACTATACATCATTCAGTAACTACTATGAAATTAGTATGTAAGATATGAATTTTAGTTATGAGAGAACTAAAGTGTGGGTCCACATACGACCTTAGCAGTTTAGGGGGTTAACTGGCAGCCTTTTGGTTCATGCATTATTTGGGCTAGGATAGTGTTTCTCCAACATGCTTCCTGTTAAGTGAACACCGACAGTGTTTAATAAGACCAAAAGGGCTAAAGAAGCAAACTTTGGTTACCAAACATGTCATGGCCAATCACTACATTTGGAGTAAGACGAGAAAATGTGTAAACAAGGCGTAAGTGTGGTTTGTTTTTTGGTCAGAACTCTTCCTTTAAGAGCAGCTGTGGTGGTGAGATGCTTCAGTGCACTTCAGATACCTCGTAAGCGTTTGGGATGTTGACGGTCTCGCCATGCTCGGCCACGTAGCCGATGATGCCCTTTCCCCAGGGCACCTGCACCTCGTTGGAGTCCATGCTGGAGGAGGGTCGCACCGTGGTGCCCGAGTGCACGTCGAAGAACTTGGACACGAGGGTCTTCTTGTGCGAGGGTCCCTCCACGAGGAAGAGCGAGCAGCGGTCCGCGTTCACCATGATGCACACGTTGATGAGGATCTTGTAGCTTAGGTTGGTCATGTCCAGCTCGTTGGAGATGTCCTTGACGAGCTCGAGGAAGAACTCGCGCTCGTTGGACTCCTTCAGGCGACATTTGTAGTCGAGCGCGCTAGACTCGTAGCGCGGCACGCTCACGCGCGACTCCAGCAGCGCGCTCAGGATGTGCGCCGTGGTGGGCGGCAGGGAGCTGGCCTTGCGCAGCAGCGCGCGCCGCCGCACGCTCGACTGCGACTCGTGCGCCGACAGGCTCACGTGCTCGTCGTACGTGCGATGCGCCGTGCTCGCTTTGGAGCGCGCGAAGCTGCGCCGGAGCTCCGCGTGCGACGAGCGGCGCTTCAGCGCGTCCGCGCAGGAGGAGGACGAAAAGGGATCACTCTTCTCCTTCTCCTCCGCGGCGGAGGAGGACTTGGAGGGCGCGCGCTGCTCCAGCCACCCGCTCAGAGAGTCCCGGCGGCTCTTGCGCATCAGATACTGCTCGAAGAGGTCCGGGTGGCAGTCCAGAAACGCCTCGACGTCCGAGAAGTCAAAAGTTGTCATTGTGGAGAAGGAAAAAGGAAAACAGGCAGCTCTGGATTTCAAAACAGGGTCCGCTCAAAGTGGTGTAATATAATAAAGTGAGCCTCCCGCGAGTCTGACTGATAGTAGCCTCATCCGCGCCTCACTGTACTGCTGCGGTTGTGGTACACCCCGCCCAGTCCCCCCCCGCCCCCCAACACCCCCATTCAATCACACACACGCACACACGCTCCTCTCATGCCTCCCATTCACACCTCTCCATCCTTTTTCCTCTCATTCTTCAAGAAGATCCAAAGAGTTCGACTCTTAATAAGGCTGCAGCTTTGAAGGGCAATTCCACCGATTTTTCAAAATTGTTGCATAATCCTTTCTTTGCGATTTAAACAAACTAATTCAGAGTGGTTTCATGTAGCGGCCCGTTGTAGAGCAAGTTACAGACTCAGATTTCTTTGCAGTGGTGGCGATAGGAACCAGGGATTTTTATCCAAAGTGAACCTACACGTGTCTTCTGAGTTTTATATGGAATGTTGATGATGGTAAAATAGTAGAAAATCTGAATCCTTTCCTTGGAGACTATTTTGCCTCACAACATCCTGTATGCATCCATCCACAATTAAATGAATTAAAATTAATGGATTAACAAGACGTTTTGGGCCAAAACTTTATCACAAAACTATCAAGCAATGCCTCAGCCACCAGGCTGCGTCTTCATACCCGTTTTGTGTAATAACTTTCTGTAAGGGAGCTTTTAGGGACATTAATCTCTTCAGACGTCTGGTTCCTATCACCACCACTGTGAACAATTCTGACTTGGTTAGTCTCTACATTGTTGGAAATAAAGGTTCTGTGCAGGTACATTTTTCATTCATCAAGGTACGAACAATGTGAATGTGCCCTCAGAGGTACAACAGTGGTTGTAGTAGTAAGTTTTTCCCAGTGGAAAAGCACACATTTGTATCTTTTCATAACCTAATGTTTTGAAACAGAACAAAAAATAAAAAGCCTGGAGACGAGGCGGGGTGTGTGGAGTCAATACAGCTTAGAAAATTTAATTTCAGTAGATTATGGTACAATTATGTTCCCTGACTAAAGGTACTGAGATGTAACCTTGAGGGTACCACCCCAGTGACAAGAGGGGTACTGCCCTAGTGACAGTTTCAAACTTTTATTTCTGGGATTGTAGAACGGAGCTTTTCACAGCATCTTAAATATTTAATTATGCAGAAATTTTCAAAAATTGGTGGTGTTCCCCTTTAAGTGCAGAGAGCGCGTGTTATGTACAGGCGCGCTGTCAGGTGTACGCTGCTGAGGTTTCTCTGGGGAAGCGATAGCAGCAGCAGCATCATCCGTGCGAGAGCCCTGCACAAAGCCTGCTGACCCGGATAAACATGAAAGCGAAGCGCAGACTCGCCAGTAGTGGCCCATTCACTGCCTTTAATGCGCGAGTTTCTTCTTAACAGAGCGTGATTGAATATGCATGATTCCAGTTCTGATTATTTCCACTGCCAGAGAACTCCTAACGAATCCTTTCTAATAAGCTCGTTTCTGCAGGGTGACCTTGCTCTCCGGGTCTTAGAGAATGTAGAGAAAAGCGAAGTGAGAGAACAAAGAGACGATATGTTTACCCCTTAATGCCTTCAGCACCTCGAGCAAAGTCATTTGTGCTGTAAAATGTATTGTAATCAAATCTACCGCCTAACTATTATTATTACAGGTCATTTATGTTCATCAAAAACACCATTTATAATTTTGTCCACGCGTGTTTAATGACACCACCATCACTCAGACCTTAATAATTAATAAACCTTCATAATGAGGAACTACACAGCACACTCTCCAGTGCAGAATTCATGCTTACATTTGTGTTCAGCAGACCTATAAAGCCTATAAAATAAAGCCCCCCGGCATTGGCCTGTAGAGCTGTGGAACTGTGCTCTCTGGTGTGATAGAGCTCCATCCAACACCTTTGGTAAAAGTTGGACTGGCGTTTGAATCCAGAACTAAATCATCCAACATCAGTACCTGATGTTCTTGTGGCTGAATGCAATCAAATCCTCACTGCAATGTTCCAACATAGTGTAAATCCTTCCCAGAACAGTAGAGACAGGGGAACGGCCCAAAGGTGTTCGATGGGTTTGAGGTCAGGAATCTGTGCTGTGCTATTTTTTACACAACAAACTGTTGACACAAACTGAAGCAAACAATGCCATCATATGCTGTAGCATTAAGATCCCCCCTCACTGAAACTAAGAGGGCCAAACCTAAATACCACCCCCCCCCATCAAAACTCAGTCAGCACTATGCATCCTCCTGCACCCACCAAAGCTAGATTTATTTGTCAGACTACCAGATTGTAAAACATGATTCAGTTCTCTAGGGAACACCTTTCCACTGTTCTACAGTCCAATGGCAGAGTGATTAACACCACTCTGGCCCACACTTTGTATTGTGCACAGTACTCTTAGGCTTGTTTGTGGCAGCTCAAGCACGGAACCCCAGTCCATGAAGCTCCTGACAAACAGTTCTTAGGCTAAACTTGCTTCCAGAGGCAGTTTGGAGCTCAGTAATGAGTGTTATAACAGAGGACAGATGATTTTGGCATACTACATGTGTCAGCACCCAACAGTTTTGTGAGCTCCTGTGGCTTATAGCTTCATAGCTAAGCTGCTGGTGCTCCTAGATGTTTCCACTTCCCAATAGCAGCACTCATGGTTAACCAGGGCAGCTCTAACAGGGCAGAAATTTGACAAACTGACTTGTTTGAAAAGTGGCATCCTCTGCTGAAAGCCACTGAGCTCTTCAGTATGATTCGTTCTACTACCTGTTTTTGTTGATTGAGATTGCATAGGTATGCATGATTCTATGTGCCTATTAGCAAAGGGTTTGCTTGACATAGCCAAACAAACTTATTTGAAGGGGTGACCACATACTTTTGGCATTGGAGACTGTTCTTTCAAAACAATCTAAAGCAGCATCCATTAAATGGCATACATTTAATGAAAAAACACAAAGCAGTATATTGCATACAATACAGCAACAATCATTATAAACCTGACTGTGTGTTTAAGCTGTGGCAGTGTAAGTTACAGAGAAATTAGTCCTACCAAGATTACATTTGCTTCTGAAAAGTTATTGCCTTTGTAATCATATATGAATGCCATTTCTGTCCATTTCAATCAGCAGTGCTTTTCAGTGCATCTGACTGGCCTTGGCTTTAACAGTATCCTCTCTCTTTAGTTGCTGCCTCTCACAGAAACCTGCACAAACCCACCCTTCTCCTGAATAAAGCATTGTGTATTTCTTACATTTCTTTCATTCCCCCTGTGCTCTCTGTGGATTTGCTGCTATGCTAGCTCAAAATCTGATTTAAAATATTCACTTTATTCTGGTTGGCGAAGCTCTTCTGCTGTGGGTTGGCTGGCTTGCATCTCCACTCTCCAGCTCCAGTTTTAACAGCAAATGTCTCCTCTGTAATCTGCTGCTTATCTGAGATCATAGTCTGGGAATTAGTCTCACCCAGACAGCATTTTTAATGTTTTAATTACCAATTTTCATCAGTGTAGAGTGAAGCAGACAGCTTTTATAACAATAACCTGCTGGAATCAAGACCGCTATTTTTTTTGGGGGGGGGGCTGATTTGTACTAATAATAACTCCACTTATCTACTAATAATCACTAATATTAATTCATTATCTACTAATGATAATTTCTATGACTTCAATAGATCGGAATGGTCTGCTGTAGGCCTTCTTGTAGCGATGCCGTAGAAGAACTCCTTCTGGTTCCCTAAAGAACATTTTACTAAATGGTTCATTTTTTTTAGCCTGGTTTAAATGAATTGTTTTTGTGATGTCACAAAAACCATTACATTTACATATATCCGCCTATTCTGCCTACAGCAGCTTTGCTCTGCTTTTTCACTTTGAAGTTATAACTGGGTGTCAAAGAAGGGGGGGTTCCAAGAAAAATGTACACTACAGGCCCTTTAAAGTTTAAAGGGCCTCCACATAAGATAATAGTTGTATATTAAATAAGCTTTTCCCTAGAACTGCACACTAAAGCCACAAACCATTTAGGAACTTTTATTTTTAACAGTACAGTGACCCATGTGCTCAGGTGTGGTATGAATGCCAAACGGACAAGATCCTTAGTTCTTAGGCTAACATTTAAAGCAAGAAACTTTGTGCCGCAAGATGACTAAAATGCCCCTCATTAGCTTAATAAGGCTCCATGCCATAGTCCAGAAGCTGTGTCAGTAATGCAAAAGAGCGTTGTTACGTGTGGGGGTCTGCATCAGCTTAGTTGGGCTCTGCTGAGCTAATGAAACATGCTCTGTGGTGGGGTATTAACCAGCAGCCAGGGAAAAGGGATCTCTCCAGGCTGCGTTACATTCATATTACAACAGTGGCAAATGTACTGCTGAGCTGTACTCCTCCATTGAGGGAAAGCAGGGTAATTGGCTTCTGAACTAAAGTTTGGGGTCTGTGATGAATCTCAGCTTTTGTAGTCTTTTGACAAAGCCCCGTGAGAATCCCAATTAAAGGTGTAATGCTGAATAAATCACCTAGCACAGCATTACGAATAAGGCCGATGTCACTGCCAGCCAAGCAGTTGGTTGTGCCACACCAAAGACAATCTAGTGGTATCGACTAGTGTGTTCAGCTGTGATGAAACGATGAACAAAGGAGTTCAGTAATGCACAAACATAGGAGAGACATAGAAGAAGCTGTTTGTAGAAACTTTCATGGAAGCTACAGTGACAAAAGCCAAGTATTCATACACAGTAGTCAGTTCTTTTAGGCTTATTGCATTTAAGAATCAGAACAGATGGCTTGAATTTGATATGACTGACAATGTTCTATTTTTTCCTATAATTATTTTTTATGTATGTGGCAATTGAAAAAGAAATCTGAAAGGGGAATTCCACTGATTTTCAAAATTTTCTACATAATTCAATTGATGAGATACATTGTAAAAAATTAGATGTCTGTTCAACTTAAAATGTTATAGTAACTGATTAC